AACTTCAGTATAATCATTGGTGTAATGACAGTGCATTTTGCAGGACGTGATTAAAAGAGAACTTGTATGCTTTTGTGAAAACTACTTTCTCTCCCTTTATGTCTCTAAATGTCTACCTGTAATATATTTTCATATTTCTCATCCATTTTTTCCTTTTATAATGATGTATTTCAAATGCTTAATGTATATATATTTTTTTACATTGTCATGGTTTTGACAATTCATTTGTAAGCACACAAGAGATACTGAGAATATTTCTGTTTAAAATAAGCGCTGGAGACCCTTAATGCCCTCTGAAGGTTTGTCTCTGTTTAAATCTCACCTCTGCTAAACTCAAATATGAGCTGGCTTACTGCGAATGTTCTTTAACATGTCAGTTACTAAGGGCAGGATACAAGGCTATAAAGCCATTAGTCCTTCTGAAAAGTGTAGGAAAGAACAGAAGCAGGTAATCTCTGACACGTCACAGTAAAATGATATGTGTGCCCCAATGTCACAGCAGCGCTTTAATCTCCTAGAGTATTCTCTACAGCACTACTTAGCCAAATATGCTGCAACATCAGTGGGTTTGTTCTCAGATATATWTTTTTAAAACCAGTTAAAATTCACACACTAAACTGAAATATGTACTATTTTTTTATAACACATTGGCTAATGATAACAGGTATTAATCCATGCAGTTAATCACTGCGTTGAATCACTGATCAGGGAGACAAACGAAAAGTGTAATAATTGGAGTTGTCATGGTTGTTCAGTAGCATTTGTGAAAGAAGTAGGATGAAAAAGGAGCTCCTAGGAACTGTTTGGGCTCTTAAGCATGGCTATAATCTTTTAGGAAGTTCGAATAAAGCTGCAAGGAGACAGAATGCTTTAATCTGAAATAGCTTTTATGAATTTGGTTATAAAAGTTTGCTACTTTACAACCATAACAGATAAACTTTTTATTTTTTTGAATATGAGTGTTAGCACTATAAGCTTTATTCTTGCTTGTGCTTAAATCTTCAAAGTTTGGTTTCAGTTTTGGGATCTCTGCCTTTGTTTTAAATTTTACTACTGTAAGTAGTTGTAAAATCTTGGTAATTTACCAGTGATTCACTGTTATCTTCCAAATGCCTGCTGATGGGAATCAGGTTCTATTCTTTGTGGCATCATGTGCCTTCAGAGTAACTTGTCCATCTACATAATCTTTGTATTCTGTAAAGTGGCTTTCTGGCTATCATCATGATGTGTTTTTTCCCTTTTAGGTAGACCCTGGCTCCGAAAAAATACCTGGGACTCRAGGGCTCTTGGAATGGTTAGGAGCAGTAGGCACAACTTTATTCCTTGTGGTTATGGCAGACAAGATTCCTCTGTGGGACTGTTTTTTAATGGAATCTCTCTTCAGGTGGGAGACCTGAGGGGAAGCTGTCAAGAGACTAGTGTAGGTCTCCCTTTCTGTGAAAACACTCCTCATCAGTGTGTCTTCTGYAAGGTGCTCAACGTGACTGCTCCGGGGAGCCTTCAGAACTGAGCCCTAGCATGGCTGCAGTGTATTCTAGGTGGACATCTGTTTTTTCCACAGATTTGTTTGCTTATGATCCTGTAGTGACAGGGTTAAAATGTGAAGTGTCTGAGGGGAATATGTTGCGATATCTGTCCTCCTACTTATTACTAACATATTGTACATATACATGATTTTACAGATGATTTTTACAAGTGATTTTTAGGAAGGTGTAAGTGCTTTTATTTTTTATTATTTTATTTTATATTTATTTCTCGACTTTTTGACATTAAGCACCATTTTAAACGCACTCAAATAATGTTTTACTATGGGGAGGGGGAATTGTAAGTATCATAAACCCCCCGATACGTTTCCTGTTTAAGTACTTCCTATTGCAGTAAATAATCTGCCACCAATCAATTGTTTAGATCTCAGTAATCCCATTTGAAATTCTGGATTGTGAAACTGTGCTTCTTTGGGATGTGAACAGGAAAAAAGAAACCACTGTTACAGAACATGTGGTTGAACATACTGTTAAAGAATGAGCTCTGAAGAAATATAAAATATTTTCATCTGGACATGGGAAAAATATTACTGTCTTAAGGCTCTTCCCAGTACGTCTCTTACAAACATGCTTTAGGGTGGGTAGCTATAAAATCCTGTGATCCACCAAATGCTGGTTTTAAGGATTTAATTATGGTAGTTGCATTGCCAAAAATCTGTGTTTGAACTATGTCAGTGACTAATGGAAAGAATGAATAGTTATCTGTATCTTCAATTTAAATCTATCGTTTGTTGTCAGATGTGCTGTAGGAAAGGAGGAACAAGTTTGTTCCGTGATAACTGCTAATAGTGATTTTGGATTACTTTAGTCAACATTTAGTTGGTATGTTCCTTCATAATTAGATATGTCAAATGCTTATCTTTTGAAGATGTGAGTTGCATTATTAATGAAAAAGCCTAAYGCACATCTGTGCGTGCACATGCCTTCATGCTTGAGTCTGTTTATGTCACTAATATGAATGAGCATGATCTTAATATTAGCTTGTATTTTTTTAAAAGCAGTGTATTTTTAATGAAATTAATAGAAAATATATTGCTTAGTGTCCTGAACATTTTTTTTCCTCTAAGAGTAACTCCTCCATTTTGCAGAGTTTCTGCTAATGCTTGGCCTTTCTTGATTCTTTTGGGAATTGGAAGCTATTTAAAAYGATCACTTGGCAGTCAATCTGCTCATAGGCAGTTGTGTTTCTCAAAGAGCCTTTGGGCATCTTTTCTGCAGATGACTGGTGATTAAAGCCCCGCTTTTATTTAGACTACTTTTTCCCCTCCTGTAACCTGTGGAGCAGTAAAACAAGTRAAAGTTTACATAAATTACCCAATTTGATCATAGTCTCTCCCTGTCAAAAACTTGTAGGAAACTACATCATATACCACAGAATTTAAGGCTATCTTTCTAGGAATATCCGGTTTCATCATTTATTGTCTTTTTTTCAATTTGGCTGATAAATATAGAATATATTAAAAATGGAACTGTTCAAAAATACTTATTTCATGTGACTAGTAACATCCCAGACTACTGCATGCAACTCTCTTCAGCTTCTGGCCAGAGGCCATCCATTCCACAGGTGACTTGACGTCTATTCTGCCTTGGTCTGATAGACTTAGACATAGGACCTGGATGTGAGGATTGATTTTTAAATATAGGATTTGAATGCTTTACGTACAAAAGCCTCAGTAAGATGTATGCCATGTGCTGTTTGCCTCGATGCATTTATGCAAAGCTTGTGTTTTACCTTGTCTCTGACTTTCACACTTTCAGCTTGCTGCATAATGTTTGTACAGAAAATTTGAAGTTATTTTTAAGTGAGATTGATAAGAAGTTGCAGGTTTGGAGTCCAACTGGGACATTTGGAAGCATTAGATTTCACAGAATCACGGAGGCTGAGGTTGGAAGGGACCTCTAGAGACCATCCAGTCTCTAGAGGTCATTTAGTCTCATCCTACTCCTGCAGGATCATTTAGAGCCCGAGGCACAGGGTGGCATCCAGGTGGGCTTGGAAGACCCCCAGCGAAGGAGACTCTACAGCCTCCCTGGGCAGCCTGTGCCAGGGCTCTGTCACCCTCACTGTTAAGAAAWTTTTCATTAAGTTCCTGAGTTTTAAACCATTCTTTCTGATGTTTCACTTGAAATTCATTCATAATTAAAAAACTGTCACCTAGACTTTAAATTGATTTTGTTTGTTTTGTTGTGCTAGAAAATACTGCAGAATCCTTGGCCATGCTTTTAGTTACAGCATTTCAATGTACTGTTCTTAYGTGCCTTCAGAAAGCTTCCTGAATCTCCTTGTTTGAACATTTGTTTCATCCAGTGATCTGTTTTCTGCCTGTGTTTGTTCTATGGCCTGTGCCTAAGGCATGTTTTGTTAGCTCAGTGCTGGATGAAGCTTTCATGGTGTTTGCCATGTGCTGATTTACTCTTGYATGTTTTTGCTTTTCAGTTGTTGTTGTCCCTTATTTTTGGTACATGTATTTTATACAAACATTCAGTCTTACTGYCTCATCATGTTATTTGTGTAGACATCTAGATGTGCTGGTCTGAAGCTTTTGCAGTGGCGTCAAGCTTACATGAACTTTTTTGTTGATCGTGTGATCATATGCATTTGTCTTTGTTTTTGGAGCTCTGTTTATGCAAAGTGCCTGTGTCTCATTAAAACTTCCCCACTATAACATTTAAAAGGCTCCTTGCCTAAAAGATGCTTAATGGTTTCCTATAAACAGTCTTTGCTTATCTCTTCAGAACGTTATAAAACAAACCAAAAAAGTCTCCTTATCTCTTTAGCTGGGATTGATTTGCTGTTGTGGCTTGAACTGGGGTGCTTGGCTAATTTGGGCGGATGATGAGTTCGATAGGCATCGCTGCACTGTTTTGCTTTGGATGTGGTTGCTTTACATATAAACTGCAGCTACCCAGACGAGAACGTGCCCTGGAAATGCCACATATGATGGACAAGGTGTGAAGGGCTAATGGAAGGTCAGACAGTTTTTACTGCCATATTTTATGGATCTTTCAACTTAGTGTTCTGTGATACTTGTCAGTAAATATAAACATCTGCTTAGTGTATTGTGTTTAAAATATATGTTATTAGCTATTTAATATATTAGACATACTGTTGCAAATGGAAACTTTTGTTTGACCAATATGTTGCTAAAATGGTGCCAGATATTAAGCTGCTGTGTCTTTTTGATAATTGGCTTAACATTCTTTTCTCCAAAGGCCTGACAGTGTGGGTGATGAAGCCAGTGATCACACACCCACAGAGTTACGTAGATGGTGAAAAAGAGACTGTCGTCATTTCTAACGAATGGATTTTATCTCCTCAGAAAGCAGTTCCTCATGGGCATATGGTTCTCCTGGCTCTCCAAGTTCACTGTATGACCAAAAGTCTAATAAGGTATTTTGAGGATAACTTAATACTGCAGATTGCTAACTGTAACTTATCTTTATTCCCTTTTACAGAATGACAGGAAGGGAGTTTTTCTCTCGGTTTCCAAGTCTTTATACTTTCCTTCTCCAACAGCTGGAGGTTGTAGCCAATGCACTGGACAGGTAAGGGAATGTCTTGGAAAGATTTGCTCCATAAAGGCCCCATAAAGGTTTAAGTGAGAAGAGGTGTCACACATTCTCTAATGCTGCTGTTCTTATCAGTTGCTTCTTGAGGGTGTGCAGTTTTACTAGTGTGTTTTGCTAAGCCTTTTCTTTTTTTCTTACAACTTTTGAACATTGCAGTGAGTCTCTGGAGTATGAACTAATGTTGAGTGATTAGCAGCTGCTTTTGTTTCTCCTGGCTGTTGCTATGTACCTAGGATTAGACTTTAAATAGCGAAGATATCTTTTCAGAGAAAGATTAAAAAAAAGGGATGTTTAATCTTTCAGAGAAAGATTAAAAAAAAGGGATGGTGAGTGTGACTTGCTAAAATTTTTAAATGATACAGGGTTATTCGGCCTCATGTAACCCTAAATGAGTACTTTTTAGCTGATGACGCACTGATCTTGGGGGAATGGCCTTCATCTCCTTTCTAAGGAGTCCACAAATGGTGTCTGAGAGTTCCAGTTTGATCAGTGTGGATAATAGAGTTTGGATGGCTGCTGGTGCTGTTACCCCCAGGTTCATGAACTTTTAAAGTAAACCGCTATGGCTCTGTTTTTTCTTTTCTTTTTCTTCCCTCTGCCCATCTCTTTAAAATGCTGTTTAAACTGAGGAAATTCAGCAGCTGATGCACAGGCGACGCAGCCATCTGTGTGATGGGTCTGAAGTGGATGGGTGGGGGGGGGAACAAGAGTTTCAGCAGCCCTTAGGTGTTACCCCGTCTCTGCTCTGTGCAAAGGAGGTGCCTGTGCTGCAGGCAGACTGCACTGCCTGGCCTCTGTGAGGGTGACAGGGTCATCACCAGAAAGTATAAGGGAATCTTTAGACTGAGAAAGACTGAATGCTTTTCTCCTTCCCCACTGGTGGGGTAGGAGGATGCTCTCAGTAGCCAACCTAAAGCACCTCTGAGTGGAAGTGTCCCAGGGCTAGTATGAAGGGCCGTGTTGTGTGGGAGGGCTCTTTTCTTTCTTTGTTTTAACCAAATGCTTCTTATAACTTATTTCTTTAGTGAAACTGAAGAGTTGAAATCGCATCCAAATTTGTTCCTTTTGCTTTTAATTCTGGGAAAGCTGTATCCATCTCCAATGGATGGCACTTACTCAGCCCTGAGCATGGCACCATTTGTCCCACTTATTATAAGGTAAAGTGTTTTTGGTGGGTTTTCACAGGATGTGTGTTCCTCCTAGAATTTCTATTTTTTTCTTTTTCTCCCAWTAAAGTGCTTTTTTCTGTTTGGATTTAAGTCTTAAAGGAAGAGCATTGGTGTTGATTGGTTGGACTTCCTTTTCTTATTAGTGCTTGTTTCCAGGGACTAGAAAGAATTTACACTGTGTGCAAGTGGTTGTATGACTTGTTTTTAAAGTTCATCTGAAAGTGCTGTACACCAGGGCTGCTACCAGAGAGAGGATAAATGAGAACTCATGGGCTTGGCTGCCTTCACAAAGTAATTCCTGCAGTGCTAAAACTTCGTAAGGCTCTTCAGTCCTGCAAAGTGATCCCTAGTAACTCATAAAAGTAATGACTCTCCTATCTAATATATTTCTATGGTGTTTAATCCAAGCTTTTATATAGTGAAATCTTCATTTATTACTCTTCAACAATGGTTACTCTTATTTGACTCTTTCTCTTGTGATTGTTTAACTCCTTTTAAAAGATACAGGTTAAAAAAAAAAAAAAACTAATAAAATATACCAAGGAAGATCTTAAAACATTGAAGAAAACTTTATCGCTCGGCCTCCTCCCCTTTACCTCCTGTTAACTCTGCTAGTAAAATAGGAGTGGCAATGAAGACAAATACAATGTTTTCTGGGTTTTCTTTTTACTGAACTTTTCAGTAAAGATTGTGGGCTCTGCTTTATTTAAGATAAAGTTCTTGAATCTTTCTCACAGAAAATGATGTTGAATACAGAGATCTGCATTTTCTGATGACTTAAACACCAGTGCTTTGCTAAGGTTTTTTTTATGATTGCTAGGAAAAAATGCTAAGGATTCTGCAGAGGAAAATGTACATGTTTATGATAGAGGTCAGCATGACATTACTCGTTGTATTTCTGCATGCAGCTCTTATACACTTATTTGTGGATATTGTGTTTATTTTCATTTCACTCTAACTGCATTGGCTGTAGTACTTGCGGYAACTTACCTGGGAAAGATAAACCTAATTCATTCCTTGCGAGGCCCTTYTCCTTCTCTGGAGCAGATAAACTGAAGTAAACTTCTTTCCTAGTCATTGATTGTTGTTTAGAAGATGGTAGTGAAAATTACTGTGACCCTCTCCAAGTAATTATTTCAAAAAGAAGGCCTGATGTCAAATGCCATATTCATCAAGAGACTAAATTGTATATTCCTTAGACTCAGTGTATCTWATTGTTATAGTATGTGTATATATGCATATAATTACACAGGAGCCCAGTGTAGTTACAACATTTAATTGCTGTATCTTCCTGTGAGATTTTTAGGTTTCTAAGGCAGCAGCCATCTATCAAAGGTAGGTACTGCTTATGCACCAGAGGGAAAGGAAGGCTGTGAATATAAAACATAACTGATCATGAGACTCCTTCTAGGGCTCTGCCCACAATAAAGTGGCATTCACTTGTTGATCTGAGAGGATAAACAGAATTCTTGGTGTGTTTGCAGGCGAACGGGCAGTGCTGTGAACAAAACTGCATTTAGCAGGAAGAATTCTCATTAGGCTCTTGAACGGTTTCACTTAAGCCGGAGTGGAATTTTCCATCTGGTGGGAGTTGAGCTGTGGTTGCTCTGGCTGCGCTGGGATGAATTGCACAATATGAGTAGGATTAAATGCTGCAAGGACAAACCTCAGTCKCTGCACACATACTTGCTACTCCCGGCTAAACTAAGGCATTGAGTTACCTAGCTGCAGTTCTATTAAAAGCCCTTTCTTCCTGCTTGCAGATGTTTTATGTGGAAGAGAACACTTTGATTTGCAACTTATTGCTTCACTTGATTTTTTAAAAGTTTTTTTCTTCTCTTTTTAATTTGGAGCTAGATATCTTCTCCTTAGTGATTGCTTTCTAAGATGAAGGAATGTACAGAATGTTTTTGATTAGCAAGGGAGGTGATCAGGAGGTAATGTTTTAAGTATGAAATGAAAACAAACTCCCTTTCTTCTCYTCCTCCTCGTCCTCCTCCCCCTTTCCTCCTCTTCCCTGTGTCCAAAAAATATCTAATCTCTTCAGAATGATTCAAATTTGAGTTACCTTATGCGTTTTCTGGTACCATAGCATTGCCAAAGCGTTTGTTTAGTGTTAAGTGTTCTGCCCTGAATTCTCTGGAAGGGTAAATTAGTATTGCTGCAAAGACTTGGATATTCTTATCTCCTTGAACTCTATCCCTTTCTAGGAGTAGGAATTCTTAATTTAAACACCTTTTAAAAAATCAGGTTTAAAAACTCCTAGGTATGTGTGCCTCATGTTCCTCTTGACAAAATTTTTTAGTCTTAGTGAAATTTCCCTTTGAAATTACTGTCAAATGGGCAGAGATTTCAAAGCAGTGTTCCTCCTGGGTGCGTGATGTTGCAAGTCATTAAGAAACTCTGAGGAAAATTTAATTAGAAGGGTAAAGATCTTTCCAAGAAATTAACATATTTATGAAGTAGACAGTACTTTCTTGTCCAGAATTTTGTAATTTACATCTTCCTGTTCAAAAATCCCTTCATGAAGAGATGTGGGGTGTCCTATTGCCAGCCAGGCAGGGTGGTTGTGGAAAGTACCAGTGCCTTGTAGTTTGTCCCCRTTCTTCTCCCACTCCCCATTATGGTCTTGGTTGGATTTTGCATAGTACAGAACTTGTCATTAATATACAAAAATAATTTCTCTGACTCTGCTAGTTAATGATATACACTAGAATATAATGAAAACAAAATTGTGTATGATGAAGGAAAAAAATTCTGTAGAATTCGGCTGGAGTAGTAAGGAGCATTTCCTGCTGCCTGTTACCAAAGGCAGCTCCCAAAAGGGACATTAGGGAGAGAGAAGTAAAGGAGAACTTTGCATCCAATAGAAGCAGATTGTCTTGGAGCTCAAATACTACCATAATAATTGTGATAGGAAAACTGAGGTAAATCTGCTGCTTAGGTGGCGTGGATGGAGTAGCTGCAGGACTGCAGCCGATGGAGTTGCTGTGGCGCCCGCCCGCAGCGCGGCCTCCCGCCTCTGCCTGCGCCAGGCTCTGCACTGCCCTTCCTTTTGGAATGGCTTAGGCCAGAGCGACCCCTTGTCTCCCTGGGATGTGCAGGGACTTAAGGATTTGGATATTTTTTTCCTGGTATGCAGTAGGTAGCACAGATTTACTCTTGGGAGCCCGTTTCCCTGCAGGAAGTGTTGCTGGTTGTCTCCACTTTTTTTTTTTTTTTTTTTCCCCCCAAGCTTGGGAAGGGCCAAAAATGTGCAAGGGAATGAGTAACACCTTTAATCCACAAATGCAATTCAATTTTCTCCATTTTATTTAGTAGATATACAGTGTAAATTTGGTAGACTTATATTTAAGAAGTCTTTTTCTTTTTTTTTTTTTTTTTTTTTTTTTTGAAACTAAACACCAATCCAGACTGATGTTCAGGGCATAGAAGGTTTTTTTTCTTGAAGTTTAAAAGCAATATGATGGTTTCTGTTGTGAAGGATCAGACTCTTTGAAGTGTGTGAAAAGTTCATTGTACAAAGTATACATGATGCAGGTTGTCCTGTACAAAATGCTRTTAAGTTAAGCATTCTCTCAGATATAAGCAAGCTTAAAAAGCTATTTTTAAAATTCTGTTACTCAGAATGAAATACAGCTTGAGGGAAAAAAAGACCCAAGTACTTAGTATTCTAGAAGATACCACAAATATAAATATTCACCGATAAATCATGTTACTTGCATTTGGGTTGGGGGTTGTTTTTGAAAAGGTTAATCCTTACTGGCTTAAGTTATTTGGTCCTACAGCTCTGTGTTAAGTAACTTCTCTTAAACTGTCCGTTTGCTTCATAGGCATTGGGTCTGAGTAAGAGTAATAAAGCAACAAAATTAGATTTTAAAAGCAGTTTGTTAGATTTTGAAACTGTTAGTTGTTGATGTTTATAACTTTTAACATTAAATATACACAAGAGAAGGAGGAGTGAGAGAGAGCTTACCATGAGATACTTCAGTTTGTTTGGGAAGAGCTTGATTGAAATAAGTCTTGTTTATCATTTGAAAACTTTAAATAATACCAAAACCACTTGTTGAAGAAGAATGTAACTGGAAACACCGTTGTTGTTCTATACTGTTTAAATACAGTTTCCCTGCCTTGGATTTGTTTCACACTGTGCAGTCGCATATGTGAATTTCATATGCGTGTTGCATGTGTGCCTTGCCTCTGCCTTGCCATCAGTTAACTGGTTTTCTATAAGCTGCACACTAGTATCTTTGATAAATGGCCRATCTAGATTGCTGAAGGGCTGTGTTCCCTGTGTATCTTCCTTTTCTTTTTTCTTTATTTTGTGTGGACTAGCATCAGTTGGAGAATTAAAATGTGTCCAAGTTCAGCTGTCATTTCTGTAATATAAGCAATTTTATCAATGGTCTTCAGAATGCTTTTGTGGGAATGTTTTTTTGTATTCTGTATTAGGTGAAGAGAACTGCACGTGCTTGTTGCAGCTTTCTTGTATTAAAACATCTGCTCTTGATTACAGTGGTTAAMAACATACTGCTAGGGTTTTGTATTAAAAGCCCTTTTTTCTTTAATGAACTGTCTGGTCAATATAACCATTCAGATGTATTATCTGGAATCATTTATCTCGCATCACCCATTTAAGAGCAGTTCCTGTCTTGGGATTTGGGCCTGTCTCGGAGAGCTTCCCTTTCGGGTTTCAGTCTTTCTCAGGGTAATCCTCTTTGCCCTGGYCACATTGTTTCACAATAGGATTTGCAGGAAAGAATGAGAAACTGAAGAGAATAATGTATAAGCTCTGCAGAAGAAAGTAACTGAGTCATGACAAACTACTGTATACAGTGATATTGAAAATGTCAGCATTATTTAAAAAGAACAGGCTTGGGCTTGAGAAGAGCCGGCATTGGGAAAGCTTTTTGGCAACAGACTTTTGGTGACTTTGTTGGAAGAAAAAGGCTATGAGAACCTAGGTGCTAGGTTGTTATGGGTCTTGT